ATTTACCACCTCAACAAGCAGCCCAACCTGTGGAGCAATCTCCAGGCAGAGTTGCTGAGCAACTTCCCCGACTCGCTCAATGAGCAGCCGGATATTGTACAACTGGAGAAGATTTCCCTTCTGGAAGCGTGCATCAAAGAGGCCATGAGGATCAGTATTCCGATCAGGGGCAGATGGCCTCGTGAGGTGCCCAAGGGAGGCCTCAACACCCACGGATATTACCTTCCTGACGGCGTAAGTTTCCAGAAACTGATGACATTCCTTAGCATCGTGACTGACACCGTCGATAGTACAATGTCTGCTCCTCAGCTTCGTTCTACTGCAACGACGCAACTGTCTTCCCGGAGCCCAAAAAGTTCACGCCAGAGCGCTGGATTGACGCCGAGAACGCCCACGATATGCAGCGCAACCTTGTCGTGTTTTCTCATGGGTCTAGGGCTTGCATTGGACAAAAGTAAGTTTACAAGTTTCTTTATCGCAACGGCCTAGAGCTCTACTGATACTTGCTAGTTTTGCCCAAATCGAATTGAAGATTGCCTTGAGTCAGATTGTGATGAACCTGGACCCTGGGAGAATAGTCGACCAGGGACTCAAGTTTCACGCGCACAGCATCACCTCACCAGACGGGCTGGCTCGTGTTGTTCTTGGAATCCCTGCATAAGAGATACTGGCGTCATCAGGGTTTAGATTATAGGACCAAGGATTTGTCGGGATGAGAATGAGGTGTTTTGATGGCTCAGCGATACAGTCATGCATATAGATCAACGTCCCAGAGTTCGATGCGTTTTTGTTCCGTCATTAGGTTTTCATTTCAATTAATCTAGTACCGTTACTTTGGAGGTCACGTTTTGCATGGAAGAGGATTTGTTTGTGAACGAGTGAATGAGAGCATTTTAGCCCCTGTCAGCATTAGATATATGTACTACAACCCAAATACGCCTCCCATAATCTCATCATAATCATGCACGGCACATCCTGCCATCAGCGGCAACGTCCCAAACATCGCTACCGACGGTCTTGAGCGCGTAGAAGACGCCAGTGGAATCCCACTTCTGCTTGATCTCCAGCAACTTGTCGTACTTGCTGCCGAAGAACTTCTCCTTCCAGCCGTCGATCCTGAAGTCGACCTCGTTGACGTAGTTGCCGCTGCCGGGGGTCGCGGCCTCGATGGGCGGCATGATGTCGTCCGTCATGCGCTTCTGGTCGGAGATCATGGTGTCCCACTGGGCGGGGTCGTTGCTCCAGGCGGTGGAGTACTGGACGTGGATGGTGGCGTCGCGCCAGTGCGGGTTGACGGCGTTGTCGACGCCGGCGGGGGCGGAGGCGTTGAGGGCTACACCGGCGGAAAGAACGCCGTAGGTGTCGGCACCGTAGCGGATGGCGTCGATGTAGGTCGCGCGGGAGGCGGTGTCAGAGAGAACGGAGCGGGGGACGAGGCGGGAGCCGAAGTTGTAGGACTCGACCTCGACGTGGCCGTAGGGGAGGGGGCCCATCCACTTGTCGTAGTGGTCGCGGTAGCTGGAATAGTTGGTGGCGGCGGAGGAGTAGGGGATGGAGAGGTCGGCGAGGACGTCGAGGAAGGGCTGGAGGATGGCCTTGGCCTCCTCGGCGGTCTTGTTGTAGGCAGTCAGGGGGTTGATGGCGAAGATGGAGCTGCTGTAGAGGAAGACGACCATGGCGCCCTGGTCGGTCATGTTAGGGAGGAGGGAGTGGAAGGAGTCGAGCATCTGCCACCACTTCTCCTGGGTAGTGTAGGACGCGGCGGTCTGCAGACCGACACCGCCGATGTTGGCATCGGGGTAGGCGCGGACGGTGACGGAGGTGACGACGCCATAGGTACCGGGGCCACCACCGCTGAGGGCCCAGAAGAGATCAGAGTTCTCCGTGCGGGAGGCAGTGACGATCTTGCCGTCGGCGGTGACGACCTCAAACTCAAGAGTCTGGTCGGCAGCCATACCGAAGTTGGTGGTGAGGGCGGAGTGACCACCACCCTGGATGTAACCACCGGCAGGGCCAACGGTGGGGCACTCGCCGCCGACAACGACGAGGCCGGCGGACTTGCCAGCCTCGGTGATCTCATAGCCGAGAACACCGGCGCCCATCTTGATAGCGGGGCCGGACCAGAGATCGTCGGACCAGGTAGTCACCTCGATATCCTTGAGCTTGTGGGTCCAGGCGGCGAGGGCTCCGGCGCCGGTTGATCGGCCGAGGTGGCTAGGGGACAAGTGGGTTAGCGGGAGTGTGGGAGAGATTTCCGGACGAAATAAGCTTACTCATGACCCGTGTTTCGGACGAGGAAACGGATGTTGTTGTCGCGGGCAAAGTTGACGGTCTCGACGACGTCCTGGGCGGAAGTAACCTCGACGGCGTACTGGACGTAGTTGCCGATGAGACAGGGAAGAGTGCGGTCCGTGAAGGGGTCGCAGGACTGGTTGGCGAAGTAGCTCTGCATCACGGAAGACGAGGAGGGGAAGCTGGGGCTTGTTAGTGGTTGCGACTTTGTGGTGTTCTACTGTGTGTGGCCTGGACATACTGGGTTTCGGGAAGGACCCAAGCATCTTGCAACGCTGTGCACGCGGCCTCATCGTAGTTGGGGTCGTGGCAGACGGAGCCGATGGGCACGGTCGCGATGAGCTTGCCGCCGACGGTGGTGTTTAGGGTGTTCCACGAGTCGGTAGAAGGCCAGGCGGCATCACCGGGGAGGACACGGCAGGTGTCGTCGGCGCGCTTGGGAAGGACGCCGGCGGCGGCGAAGGGCGCGGCAGCGAGGGCCGTGGCGATGATGGAGGACTTCATCTTGGCAGGGCTGGAGGGGGAGCGGAGAGCCTTGAGGAGAGGGTGTTTAAAGGAATGACTAGGCTGCTGCAGGGAAGACTCCTGACGGCGAGATGAAGCGAGAGGGCCATGACGGGATGGTCTTTATATTGAAGACGGTCCGGCTTTCTTGGATGACCCAGGAGCAATGCACAGTTGGCAGTTGGTTCACTGGTTCTTCCTTGATTGCGGCACAGGCACAGGAGCAAGAGCTGCGAACATCTGGACCGGGCTGTGTAGACGAAGGCCCAGAGGGGAAGGGGATGCTGTCAATCTCCCTCCCGGCCGCAGACTCTCAATCCGCGGCGCCAGGGCCGTGACTAGGTTTATCCCCTTTTCGGCAGCTTGTCCGGCATTGTGTGGCGGCCACGGGGTAAGCCTGCGGAGCTACAGTCCCCATTGTTTTCTCCTTGAAGCAAGGTCCGGGGTCCTTTGGCATTGCGCTCCGCTTGAGCCTTTCTCGAGTTCTTCGGTCTCTATCCTGGAGATCGACACGAGGGTTCTCTGGGCGGGTTCGTGCGTGCGGTTGAAGGAATCCGACAAGTTGGAGGCCAGCGGTTCGGGTTTGGGGCTTAGATGCTGGGCGCTGGAAATGAGTCGTGCGTGTCTGTCGTTCGATCCATAGGGCAGTCTTCTGGAAGGTTTATGGAAGAAAATGACTGGGGGCGTCGCATAAATTCGAATCTCGCCAAGTGCCGGGGGTGCTGGTCAGGGGATGCGCATCGCATGCATCGGACGAACAGCTGAACACGACAGGTCGCAACGTCCAACACACATGCGCAGCAACAACTCGATGTGTGCTCACTGGATCACTGTTGGTGCTGGATTCTTTCGGCCGCCACTGCATCTTCTGCCCTGCAAGTGGGAGACATGTCGATAAGTGATCCCTGACTCGTGGAGTTCACCTCGGTTGCGCCCCCAATCGGCCCTGGCAAAGGTCGTTGGCGGCGAATGCAGCCCTTGCCCTTCCCCCTGATCTGGCCCCATCTCCATCTGGTGTTCGTCCTGTTCCTGCAGCACAGGCCTGATGCTGGCTTCCAAGCCTTCTTCAACGGGGCACTGGCTTCCAGCTTCGAGAATTTCGTAACGACGTTTGAGCCAGCCGAGTTAACGTTGGCAACGGGAAGGGCTGACGGTTTGTGCCCTACGCCGTCGGAACGCCACACACAAACATGCTCGTGTTAGCGGCGCAAACATCTCAATCGTTCGTCGTCATCGAGTGGTCTATTTTGAGTTGACGCAGGGAGAGACCAAGGTTGGTCAAGACATGTGCATGTCAGTCCGTAAGCGTGTGGGGTGCATTCGGTCCCCGAAGAGAGGCGCTCCTTTCTTTTTCTCCTGTCGGATTTCGATAGTCTCAGGGACATGTTCCTTCTTCCGGTGATGGCGGCCATGTTTTCGCAGCACCAACGACAACATGTGCCGATGCGAGATGCGGGTGGCAGCTTTGCCGCCTCTCCCGTCCACACCACCACGAAAACCAATCTTCTCGAATGGCATTCCTTTTCTCGGCCAATAGCACCCACTAGCGTCGCCGTTGCATGGCCTAAAATGGCTCCAACGTCTAAACATCCAGACTTTTGCTCCGAAGCTTAGCAGGGCCGCGATGTCACCGGCCCGGGGCGAAAAGAGGAGGCCCAAACGTTGCAGGTGGCAACATCGAACCATATAACTTCGGCGATATTGATAAACATTTGGTTTAACCCCTCGAACAGAGTCACCAACAACCGTAAATCCGCGTACGACCACTCCGTATCGTCTTCCTTAGCCTCGGATGAGTCCCGAAGTCGGTAGCTGCCGATACACCTGAGCTCTGCAGGAGAGAGAAAAAATACCCCGGCCCCATGCTTCGAGAAGGGCCCCCTCGTCTCCTCCACGCCAGCACGTGTGTGTGTTCGGGATGAGGGGCCGGCGGGCTGGTGGGCTTGGAGTGGACAATTGCGCCGGGATCAAATCTCGGTGGTGAGGTCTGTTTTGAGCTCGTGCGCAACGTGGACGGTCCGTTGGGCTGACGCAATGTCTTATTCATTCCGATGGTGGGACTATCGTTCTATCTATCCTTCCGATTTCTTCGGGTCCGAAGGGTGTTGTGGGCGCACAAAAGAGTTGAGGCTCTGCTGCATGCCTTGCGTTTCCTTATCACAGGCCCTGTCGCGGAAGACTCGGTGCTGCGCCAAGCCAATGGCTTACGTCCTGTTGCATTGCACGAAGCCCACTTCTTCCGGCGGACTTAGCTCGATAGTCGTCGCATGAATGATCGAGACCGCACCGAGACCCTGTCTCCTGGGCTCTGGCTCGAGAAACGCGCAGCGCGCGGGATTGTTGCCTGGAGAGTATATGAAGACGTTTGTCACGATGCCGTTGCTGGCTGTCAAAAGTGTCAGCAGGGGGTCGCTTTGCCTCGGCTCCGGGGATGCGCTCGATTAAGGTAGGCTCACCGACGGGATATCCTGAAAGCGTCTCAGGTACGTCAAAAAAAGTCGGTAAAAGTGCCATTCTCATAGGTGAACGATATGCCGAACACAACGACGGGGTCGTCGTCCTGATGGGTAGGGGCTGTGGCGGCGAGGGTGGCAAGGAGACTCGCGAAGGCGGCGGTGAGCTTCATCTTGACTCCTGATGTGCGCGCTTGTCGCAAATGCTCAGGAGATTGTTCAAGACCTCAAGGCTTCGGTTCATTATATGGGATTGAGAGTCTGGCGTGTGCATGGTGCTGACATAGAGCCATCTCGATGCGAGCACTTGTTCTCGTTCGCTTTGTGGGCGGTGAAGTGGAAATCCGCTCCTGAGTTTGATCAAGTGATGTTCAGGACGTAATGTGCCTCTAGAAAGGCGCTGATGTATCTTCTTACGGCAGTTCGCTGGCTGGCGCATCACGAAGAGGCGACTGGAGTAGGCTTTCAAACACCGCCGAGATGCACGACTTGAAATCCGGCAACTTTCACCCAGCAATTTGGGATAAGAAGTTGTCCAAAATCACATCTAGGCGAGGTCGTGCTCGGTAAGGCCAATGCAACATGGAACTGAGGTCATGACATTCTTGGGGGCGGAATTCCATACGACGCTTGCGGGGCGATATGCCAATTTGCGGGGTGTAACACTGATGATATATTACCCTCGGACTGAATCGCGATTTTTAGAAACTTAAACAGGGTGCAACCAAGCTGACTCGTAGTCCATCACGACGTCAGTTCAACGACAATTCTTGAAGCGATATGCATTTCTCCTAAGTGAACCGTTGAATGAGCCAGTCCGGATGCCACTGGCCGCCATCAGCATCCTGACATCCCGTGTTCCCACCCACTGAGACTTGGCTGTTCTGAGAGAAACCTGAAATGGAATCTCGAACCAGGTCGGAGACGTCGGTGTTGCCGACGTAGCCTGCCGTCGCTGGGCGTGGGTTTGCCCGCACCGAAAAGCCGCAAGTGTTGATGGAGACCAAGCGCGACCACGAGAGACCGTTGACATCGAGGTCGGAATTCTCGACGCGAAAATAGCCGCCAGTGCTCGAGAAGTACTGCTGCAAGAACTGGCAATCATCCACTAGGGGGGCGTTGGAGTTCCAGTTGTTGGTGAACGTGCTGCCACCACATAGATCGTAGAAGGGGGAACTGGGCGTCCAGCCACGCTTCGCACTGGGATGCAGAGAAATCGGAGCCGGAGCGTCAGCACTGTTTTCTGGCGTAAATTCGGCGAAGAACGTGGCAGTTCGGGTGCGGCCGTCTGGGAGGGTGATTTCTTTGGTCACCGGGGTGCTGGACTCGAAGGTCGCATCGCGCCTGGGCAATGTGACTGCCGCCGTGGCAGACGTCAGAAGGGAGATGGCGAAGAGATTGTCGAGACGCATATCTGCCGTGTAGAAACCTGGGTTCATCGTGGAATATTAAAACCACGGCCAAGTCTTGAAAATTGGCCCCTTTTATATGCCCCATTCTGAGAGGGACATGTGTTCTAGCGCTGGAAAGAGATGTTCGCTCTCGAGGGCATCCCGTCGATATGCATCCCACTAACAGTCGAAGGTGCCATCGAAGGAACGGCTGGTCGAACCAGCGCCGTGCATTGGTGCAGAAACTATGCCCAGGAAGTTGACTATAGTGAAGGAAGAACTTTGGTTCAGTCAGATAATCGCACGATTGAGAAGTGGTAATGTGTGTACATGACGGCCGACCTGTGCCATATTGCCAAGGAATCTCGCCGCGATCTTGCATGAAACTTGCTTCATGACTTGCCATATTGGGCAACCGATCCCACCACCGGGTCGCTGGAAAGCATCGAAGCTCTTTCAATGCGGGCAACACAAATTCCAGAGTTGGCTTGTTCTTTTACACACTAGCTGAGTTTTGCGAGGAAAAGTTGTACTTTACCCGGAGCCATTCATAAGAAGATACGACGAGGGTGTAGGTTACCACGACATGCGTTTTGCACAGAATCCATCAAAGCAATCGAGTTTGATTCGAGAGTGATCAATAATCAAATGAAAGCCATGAATGGAGTCCCCAGAATCCTGCCATTCGGCCCGAACTTGATCCCTTCTTTCCGCAGAAGCGACCTCTTCTCATCCAGAGTGATACCCTCTCCGTTCTTTGGCCGCTTGCCCTTGAAGCCTCCAAGGTCTCCACCAGTGGCAATGACTCTGTGACATGGAACTTGTGGTGCGTACGGATTGCGGCGCAACGCGTTACCGACAGCTCTTGGTGATGATTTGAGATGGCTGGCGAGCAGGGCGTATGTCGTGATGTGACCCCTGGGTACTTGGCACAGGGCGGTCCAGACTCTCTTCTCGAACTGCGTGCCTCGATGGGAGGCGGCGATGCGATCGATTTGAATTTGCATCTCTTCGCCCTCAGGAATCTTGCAAGAAGTGATGTCGCGCGCTACTGGCGACGCTTGGGCGACAGCGGTTCTGGCCATTGTGGTGAAGCGGCGGAGAAGGGTGTTGGGGATGTGATGCAAGACGTCGTATGTCGATGATTTTGATCTTCCAAGAAGATATCGGAAAGTTGAAAGGATGACTCGATTAATAGATACGCAGCTGCTCCGTTCTCTGAGTCAACGGCGAAGATTTGGGGATTGTCAAGTGAAGGGCGCGTCGTCAACGCGAAGGCCAAGGGGGGCAGAACGCGAGTCTTGCGCGAGCCACGTGACCTTAACTGAGACGCTTGCTTTCAAAGTGACCAATGGCAACAGTCTCCAATGGCACTGGCTGGCGGCCTGTGTCATAAGTCTTGCTCATGCCCTGCTCATGTAATAATCAAGGGACCGCCTAAGTACTTTTTCTTGTGTTTGCACTGCAATACTTCCTGTGTATTTCATGAGTTCGACCGAGGACGACTGCGTAGAGATAATGACAGCAACGACGATGACGATCGTAGTGCAAATTGGAAGTAAACCCGCAGGCAACATAGGCGGCTTCATCATTAGCATTGAGGCAAGAATCTTAGAGCTACGCGGGCGAGAGTTCGAGGAATTCGACGCGGTACGGCCCAGCCTAATTTGCAGTATGTAAGCATAAATGTTGTTGGAATGCTTTTTACACGTAATTTAATACCTGAGTACACAATGCCATTTTGCACAAGTCTTTGCAAGTCGTTCGAGAATGGGTATCCTCATCTCCAACCATTCAACCCATGATTTCGTGGTCTTCCGATAACGCCAAAGTGAAATCAGTCATGTAGAGGTGCATGCCCAGACGTTCCAAGCCTCCCAGGCAGCCAGCCTCAGCCCCGACTTTCGGTCCATCCACCTGAATCGTGCTTTATCCGCAATGCTTGCTCCTTAATCACCAGTGTCAACCTCCAAGTCGATCTGCACACCGTTGCTGACACCGTAGTCCTCCAGCGTAAGGTGGTCCTTGAATGGCCGCTCTCCCTGGCGCTTCAGCAGGATCTCGTGGGGCTCCCGACCGACTCTCTGCGCCACCAGGATCTTGAACATCTTGACGGGATCCGAGGCGAGGCAGGGAATCGCAGCCTTCGTGCCGAGACGGTCGTTGACGTGGACGATGATCATCTCTTCGCCGCCGGCAGCAGCAGGTGCGGGCGCGGGCTTCTCTCTCTTGGGTGGCTTCGTCGTATCCTTTGAGCTCGAGGAGCCGGCTTTGCTTTCTCTTGGGCCTGAGTCGCGATCGCGGTCACGGTCGCGGTCGCGCGGGCGGTAGCTGTCGTTGCGATCACGATCGCGGTCGTTGTATCTGTCGCGATCTCTGTCTCGGTCGCGGCGTGGCGAGCGGGATCGATTGCGGTAGCCGCGCTCGAGGCCCCGTCTGTCGTCGCGATCATCGCGGTCGTCTCTGCGGCTCTTGTCCTTCCATCGGAAGCCTCCTTGCTTTCTGGGCCTGTCTCTGTCTCGGTCGCGATCGCGCCGCGGCGAGCGCGATCTTGGGCGCTCGCTATCTGCCATGTCGAGTTCGGATGGGTTGTGGCGTTGGAGATGGGCACATTGATTGGCACCGTTGGACGAAGAAGCAGTGACTTCACTGTTCAGGCGAACCTACCCACTAATTATGCACGAGCCACCCGCCGAAGCTGGCTGCTGCAGAGCAATCCGGCTTATGTAATACAGCGAAAGGTCCTCTGACGCTGTTCTACCGACAGTGTGAAATCCTCGTTCCATTCTCATCCCACTAACACTGGACTGACTGCCTCCGAGTGGACGCAGGTCGTAGAAGTTATCCGGATACGGGACCGCATCTACCTGGAGCCCCACGACCGTCCAAGCGCGGAAACTCTTGTGTGATTGCCGTCGTATGAAGCTTTCTTCATAAGGTGCCGACTCGAACTGCATCGATCTGTCGTTCGAGAAGGGCTGAGTAGCTAGAGGGTGTCAGTCTTTTCCGTTCCGAGGGCTAGAGATCAGTCGAACATACCCTGACCGAAGCAGCGCCGTCGGCGGTTGCAGCATTTACAGATGATGAAGACGGTCGATGGTAGTCCCACAAAAAGCGAAACGATTGCGATGATAGCCTCCAGGGTCACCTCCATTTTAGCGATGCCGTCAATATGGTTTGTTACGGAGAGGTTGTCGTTCGAGATCAGACTGATAGTTGGACGGGTTGACGATAGGAAGATATCCGAACCAGACCATGCGTCGCGCGGGTAGAGATCAATGAAGAAATCTAACAAACATCGACGTCAACAGGAAGGAACGAATTGCGACATCAATCCGTATGTTGGGGACTGACAGTGGTGGAGATGGTTGACGAGCTTTAACATAGGAGACTGGAAGGAAGTTGAAAGGTCACGATCAAAGCAGCCTTATATCTTCTCAAAGTGTCCCATCCCGCTCTCACAGGGAATGAAGCATAACAAAGTCAGAGGCTGCTCGCTTTTCAGACATTGGTGTGAGCGAATGGGAAAGCGGCGCCGCTGGAGACTACAGGCGTTGCGATGCGATCTCGCAGGCTGCACAGGTGCTCTGCTAGATCATGTCAATTACTACCATCCAAATCATTTTCAGACTGCGGATTGAACCAATGAGAGTCATCTGTCGTTTCGTTTCGCTCGACTTGGCCAGCTATCCGCTCTTCTCACTTACCTGCCATCGGGCGGAATGTGCAAGCGTCCCAGATGAGCTGAGGCGGTGGGGGAAAACTTGTGCGGACACTGCCTCGTCTGCCTTTCAGATACCGGGTTGAACCAATGGGGTTTCTCGCACCCAATTCAACGTCATCCTTGTAGATGAGTGTGCAGCATCTGCAGAGGACCTGAAGCGACCCATTGCCAAGAGTAAGGCAGGCCGCCTTTCAGATATGGGGTTGAGCCAATGAAGGCCTGACAACACCCACAGCCTCATTCGAATGTTCCGGTATTGGCCACAGCCAATCACGAGATGTTGGCCCGTTTCTGACCGGAATGCCATTTTCGAATAAGGCTCTGCATTTCCTCTTCGCAACACTTCATCAGTGTGATGAAACGAGCCGCAAACCTATAGCACTATTACCTTCGTCTTAGTCCATGCCCACGGTTGTAACGATGGCGCCCACCCGACTGACTGACGCTGAATGGCTTCAGCACAAACCCAGCATCAGGCGAATGATCATCGATCAGAACTTGACTCAAGATGAGACGAGACAGCAGCTGAAAGATGGAGGGATTGAGGTAACGTAAGTCTGCCGTGTTCTGCTGCTAGTTGCTCCTATTAAGTAGATTTAGTAAGGCTCAACTTGAATACAAGTTGAAAATTTGGGGCTTTCGCAAAAAAGCTCCAAAGGAAAAGAGCGATGCGATTTGGCAATTCATCGCTCATCGTGTTGAGAAGAGGAAACGACAACAGAAGGCAAGCGACGTGTTCCTCAACGGGCAACGCGTCGATCCTGCGAAAGCACGCAAAGAGATCAACCGACATCGACCAACTTCCCTCGTCAAACTCAAGCAAGGTAAGATTTTGCCGATAGGTCGAACTTTTCAATTCCACAGACTGACAGGCCGTAGCTGGAATGAGCCCGAAAATGCCCGAGTCATCGGAGGTAATCATTCGCACTCCGGCGTCAATCCCAGATATATCACCTTTGTGGCCAAGTTGCCTCCCATGGTTTCACTTCGAGCGCAGTCTTCCCCTCTGTGAGTGTATCGAGCAGAAGGTCTCGCAGCTTTCATGACTCATCCAGTGTAGCATGGGGCCTCTCCACATTGTCAGTCGCTTCTGGCAACGCACCAACTCAGATCGTTATCAGGGCGGAAAGACCATTTTTACACTCAATATCCCATGTCCAGGGTGGCTTAAACAAGCAAGATCCATCTCGGTTAGCTGTCGAAATCGGCTTGATTATGCCAGAAGCTCACAGAGATGAAAATGCAACGCGTGCGCAAGTACTATTGCATGGATCAGTAGCCGACGTCACCACCGAGCGTTTGAAAATTTTGCTCTACCAGGCATCAAACAAGTTAGCCAATCCGCATATCGACGATGAGGTTATCAAATTACTTGAAGATTCAGGCATCATGCAGATGCCTCTTCAGCTGGGGAGGATGATGGACACGGCACTTCATTCTATAGCGGAAAGCCTTTTCCAGCAAGCCCTGAAGACTCTGTACAGCCAACGAGTCAACACATCAAAAGAGTTCATGTTGAACGGATTGCCGAGCTGGAGAGTCATCAAATGGCTACTTTCATCCGGACAAAACCCAAATGTTCCGATACAAATCAGCGTAGGAAAGCACCTCACGCCTCTCGAAGTAGCGGTTGACATGAGTTGTCTCCCCTTGGTGTCTTTGTTGCTCGACGCGAAGCTGAATACAACATCAGCCTACGAGGATCCCATGAATCTTATCCAGGGAATTATCCAAGCAGGTATCAGCCACACCGAGAGAGTACAACTACTCAAACGTTTCCTCAAAGATGAAGCAATCATCAGCTTTCTCAAAACTGGACGACAATGGCGTCTGCTGGCGAATATTCTTGACGATATCCTGCCCAACTTTGAAGCTCCGAGTTTGGAGTTGATTGACATTCTCATGGACGACGGAGCGAAAATGTGTTTGAAAGGCAAAGATTACCCTGCTTTGGGCTGGACCTCTTCAAGCTGCAACATTTTGGGTTATGCAGCTGGGCTCATCACAGAATCCGTGGCTGTGATCTGTCTGTCGCACTTTTTGAGCAAGGCTCAGCAGTCAGAACCACTTCTCCCTCCGGCTTCCTTCATCACGCCAGACGTCATTTTTCATGCAGTTTTAAGCGGTCACAATAAGATTCTTGAGTTCCTGCTTGAGATTCACGTTGATCTCACATGTTCATATCAAGGAGTCACTGCTTTGCACGTTGCCGCATACAGTGGACGCCTTGAAATGTGCCAAAAGCTTCTCCAACTTGGTGTTCCAGTCGACGGCTATCTTGATTTCCAACACCCCCCAACGCCACTACACCTCGCAGCGTACTACGGCCGTCTCGAAATTATTCAGCTGCTGCACAGTCATGGAGCTGATTTGACCAGATGTCTGCTGGGCATGCAGCGGTCACGAATTGAGGAGATCGAGAGTATATATACGGAGCGTGCAGCCAGCCCCGTCGGTGCTGTCTTACTTAGCCGCAATCATCAAGCGTCAAAGTTCTTTGCCCAGCACGGTGTACCATTTCCCCCTTGGGCTGCTCACCATGAAGTATGTGAACGTGACCCTCAGCCTTACGCTGTGCGATTAGCTTTGGAGATGGGTGCTGACCCAAACTGGACGGAAAATGGCTTCACTGTACTGGAACGCTCTTTGGGGCAGAGAGCATTTGGGAGTGCGAAAATGTCCCAAATGGTTCACATCGCAATGATACTGCTTGATGCAGGTGCGGCTTTGCGTGGCGGAGAGATTTATAGAGCTGTCTTTCTCAACGATTGGGACTTGGTTTCTCGGCTGCTCGAAATGGCTCATTTTGGCACTAGCCAGCAAGACGACCTAATGTCAATACTCCAGGCCGCCATAGTCACTGGCAACCAGCATTTCATCGATCGGCTGCTCGACATGGTTCATTTTGACACTGGCCAGCAAGAGAACCTCATACTAATACTCCACGGCGCCATAATCACTAAAAACCAGCACTTGATTGATCGGCTGCTCGAAACGGTTCATATTGGCACTAGCCAGCAAGGCGACCTCATACCAATACTCCAGGCCGCCATAGTTAATAGCAACCAGAGCTTGACTGATCGGCTGCTCGAAATGGCTCATTTTGACACTAGCCAACAGTTCGGCCTAATGTCAATACTCGAGACCGCCATAGTCGATGGCAACCAGCACTTGGTCGCGCAGATTTTCACACATTTTCCAGACGCCTACGACGCAGGGGCTCTGTGTGCCGCTGTGCTTTTTGAAGATCATGGCTCTGAAACCGTCGAGCTCTTACTTAATAGTCGTCCAAAAGTCGGGGATGCGTCTCCCCTTGAGAGCTTGGCCATTGGAATAGCAGCTGGGAGAAAACGCGATGATTTGCTCGACCTACTCCTCGCTAAGTTACAAAAGCCTTCGCTAGCCGCACTTCCCGAACGCGTTATCCATAGTCTCACAGGCTCTGAGCGCGTAAGGGACTTTTTCGACACATACTATATACACCAGCTCAGCTATCACCGAAGCATGAGTAGGGCCTTTTGGCGAGATGAGCCTACAATCCTTGGTTCGCCCCTGACTCTAGCCCTTATGTCTGGGAATCCGCTCTGCCGGCTTCTTGACCATGGGTTTCTTCCTGACCGGCTCACAATGTCCATCGCAGCCAATCTTGATAGACACGGTCCCATACAAAAGTTGGCACAATATCGGATGCTATCTTCTGGCTTCGACGATTATGAAGGGCCACTTGCAACGGCTGTAAGGAGAAACCACATCGATGGCGTGAGATCTCTTTTGGATGGCAATTATTGCGTCAACGAAGACAACAGTCACGTCAGAGTTGGTCGAAGTCCTCTGCAGATAGCAGTTGAAAATGGCCATTCGGATCTTATTGAATTGCTCTTGGGCGCAGGAGCTGACGTTAATGCACCAGCAGCTCGAGACCGTGGTGCGACCGCTTTGCAACTTGCCGCAATTCAAGGTTATATTGGAGTTGCTAAGATGCTGATCGATCTTGGCGCTGATGTTAATACGCCCGGTTCCGGACGCCGCGGTCGCACTGCGCTTGAAGGTGCTGCAGAACACGGAAGGATCGACACTATTCAGTATATCCTAAGCCAAGGAGTTAAGACAAAGGGTGAAGGGCGGATTTCATACCTGCGGGCTGTAAGGTATGCCGAGCTAGAGGGACACATGGTTGCTGCGAAACTACTCAAAACTTGGCGAGGATGGACTGTGGACGACAATGCGTTGTGGGCCAGATTGCGCTCCTTGAGTCGATGGGAATGTGAGCAGATTATCGAGAAAGTTGAGTATGATGGGGACTTGGAATCGGAATTGGAAAGTCACGGTCTAGAGGAAGTTCATGGCGGCGATGGAATGGCGGACATTGTTTTTGATGGCGCCCCTTTCGGCGATGGAGTGCCGGACGTTGTTTTTGATGGCGCCCCTTTCGACGAAGTGTCTGCACATGAACTCTTGGATACAGCAAACGTCCTTGGTGGAATGGTTGAACTTGAAGATCTGGAGATGATGACAAATGACACCTTTGCGTTCTGGTCTGGATTAGACTTTGGAGTTGACGGAGTTTAGAATCAAGCGTACAACCAGGGCCCGCAAGGTCAAGTTCTTCAATCCATGGAATAGGATTTGTCGACATTCATGGATTCAAAGGATATGTACCATGATGAGCCCTCTGAGGTGTTGCGGATGATTGAATGGCTAAAAGGACAAAAACAAATAGCACAACCTGGTTTCGATCCAGGGACCTCTGGGTTATGAGCCCAGCGCTCTACCCCTGAGCTATTGTGCTTGTATTACTTGTTGAAAATGAGCTCCGTTTGCCAGTCCATGAAGGTAGTGGAGTGGGTGAGTCATTCTCAAGTCACATTTTTCACTTTGGCCAGTCCGGCTCCGCTGTGGGAACAATTCTGTGAACGAACGGTCGGCGACGACTGGATCTGATCGATGGGGCGACTGGAGAGAAGGTCTCGTGAGATTGCGTCGTCCTACACCAAGATCCGGGGTATCTCCACACCTCCAACCCATCCATCCACAAAATCTCCGATACCAAAAACTTTTAAATAATATCCCCGTATGATACAGCGCTTCAATCATCGAACCCCTCAAACTCGTCCTCCTTGTCCTTTCCGCCCGCTGCCTTGGCCTGGTTCCGTTTCCTGACTTCGGCAATCAGCTCGTTCAGCTCCATGGCCTTGATCTTCTCGTCCTCCGTCATCGTCGACATCCTCTCGGCCTCCTTCTTGCGTCTCCTCTTCTCCCGGCGCTCGACTCTCAGATCTTCCCTGTCAGTCTGTTTGCTCCACGCCTCATTGGTCTTGCGCTTCTTCTTCACCGCGTCCGCCGCGGCTGCCTTCTCTCCGTTCCTCTCCGCCTCGATCGCTGCCTGTCGTGCCGCTTCGCGGGTCTTGTCCTTGTATGTGAAGTTGTCCCAGTCGAAGCCCTCGTTACCGAGCCACTTGTCGCCGTCCCAGGTCTTCGTCTCGGGCATGCGCGGGAGACGAAGCAGACCCCAGCCCTTGCCGAGGTCAGCCCAGTCGAGGTCCTTTACGCGGAAGATGGAGGTTGTCTGGTGGGCGCCGTAGCTGCGCACCCAGCTGACGAAGGCTTTTTGAGCCTTGTCGTGGTAAGCGCGATCGCTGCGCAAGACGGCGCGGAACTTTTCTGATGTTTCGTTTGCTTCTTCGTCGGAGATCTCTACTTTGGGTTTCGTGAGGGGGTGAATGGGCGTCTTGCGGACTTCGAGGAAGGGGATATAGTCCTCCTCGTGGCCAGGCTGCAGGAAGACCACGGCCAAGCCCTTTCGGCCTGCTCTGCCTGCGCGTCCGCTTCTGTGGATGAAGACCTTGGGGTCTGCGGGAGGGTCGACTTGGCAGACAAAGTCTACCTGGGGGATATCGAGACCTCTGGCGGCGATATCTGTGCAGAGGAGGATGGAAGGTGAAACTGAGTTGACGAACTTGGCGAAACTCTTTTCTCTAGCCTTGGGAGGAAGCTTTCCGTGCAGCGGCACGAGTGTAAAGCCGTCGGGGAGAATGGTTGGGAGGACGTGTTGGAAGTAGTCCACGGCCGCGCATGATGACAGGAAGACAATGCTCCGTTGCGGGCGGGGGTTGAGGTTCTCCAGCAACTTGCAAAGCGCTGGCAGCTTCTTGCTCGCTGGCGTGAGGAGGTACGACATTTGCAGACTGATGGGTGTCTTCCGGTCCTCGATGATTCCTCCATCCCGCAAGCTCTTGACTCTGACTGCGATCTTGACGGGATTCCTTAGACCGACGGTGATGATCTGAGACACAGCCTCCGAAACCGACGCGCTGAACAGACCCGTTCTCCTCTGCTTCGGCAGATACCCAAGAATTCTCTGAATGTCCTGCTTGAAACCCATATCCAACAGACGATCCGCCTCATCCATGATGAACAATTCGAAGGTCGCTTGCGTGCAGTGGACGTGGGGAGAGGCCAGCAGCTCGACAAGTCGGCCAGGTGTAGAGACGAGGACATTGGGAGCATGTCTGACGAAGAAGCTAAGATCCTGCTGCGTCGTCGTGTTTCCTCCTACGAGCAGTTGGGGGACGATAACCGGGACGTTGGTGTCGGGGCGCTTCTCGTCCTCCTTGAGGTGCGGGAGGATCTCGGCAGAGGGTGGGTGGAAGCCGACGAGGGCCTGGAGAACGGAGTGAATCTGGATCGCAAGCTCGCGGGTCGGTGAAACAATAATGGCAAAGACGTGGCCGCGCTTCGTAGGCTCGGAAAGGCGCATGAGCTTCTGGACTAGGGGGAGGAGGAAAGCAAGAGTTTTGCCGCTGCCAGTGACGGCCTTCAAGAATTAGTCTGATATCGCATTGTGTTGAGGCATTCTTGCATACCTCTACTACAACGTCCTTGTTTCCAAGGAACTGCGGCAGACATGCTGCCTGGACAGGCGTCATGCGCTGGAAGCCTTGACTAGAGACGAAATCGAGGATCCATCTGCGCGCAAAGGTTAGCAGCGCGTCGTCGTCAGATTAGACTTGGGAGTCGTACTCGGCCAGAGGAGGTGTAAGTCCACGCCAGGACCTAGGGTCCTTCTTCTTCTCGTCGGGCGCCATTGCGACAATCGTCCAATTGAGCCTGGGGCGGTTCAGGAGATTTTGCGCCTCAAACTCGGCTCTGCGAAAGTCGTCGCGGCTGGCTGCTGTCTGCTGTCCGAGCTGGAGGGGCCGAGATTTTTTTTTTGGATTATCGATAAGAGCTGATCTAATCTGTTATCGATTGCGATGCAGAGATAAGAGATGCTCACGTGGACTTTGGCTGCTTATCAGACCACCCAGTAACCGGATTTCTTGGCGCAAGTGCCTGCTCCGACCGCCGTCCACGGACAAAGCTAGTGATATCATCCCGTCTCTCCGCCCAACCGTCCTGGGCCACCCCGAGCCACAGATTTCAGATTTCGCGGGTGCAAGTGTCGCACAAGCACCAAGACAAAGTGTCATCGCCCTATGACATGCCACCCAAAAACTCTCAGCCATGATGCCAGCCAAACGCCCGCTTGGCACTTGCACACCCGCACTAGGCGGTCAAGAAAAATCAAGGAAAGACAGTGTGTCTCGCGTCCATGATGTGATGATGCACGATGGCAGACTGGGAGAGCGATATCCGCAGCAGAATCCTCCTGCGAAGAACGACATGGAAGCGGCGGGATGGCCGGAGATGGCTTCGTGGGTTTTGGGTTTTTCTCACATGCTTGCCAGAGGCAGCCCGTACGCAGTAAAAAGCGCTGCCATTCAAATTGGATCGCACTGCGGACCCCTGCAAACTGCCCGCTGCCGCTGGACTTGACACCATCCGACAGGCCGTCCCTAGTATTAGTCGCGTGCACCGGACGGTGTTGGACTTGGGGAGTGGGCTTCGGGGGCGGTGGTCATCCGGGCCTCGGCACACTGTACAGAGGGGTATTGGGACTGTAGGTGTTTGGCTGTCTCGAACGTTATAATTGTCCATCTTGGAAACCAAAACCATGAATACACCATGGTTCATGCCGTCAGAAATAACCATATCTATTCTAAAGTAATCTTAAAGTAAAATGTCCTAAAGATAAACCACCATAACGATTAAACCAAATGGCTGGATATGCCACTACCAAGACCACTACCAAGACCATGTGGGCTTGCTAACAAACAGTGTCACCGGCCCGGCGCACAGTACGCCCCAGGTACTCGGTACCTTAACCTTACGGCGAAAAATCCTCACCTGCACAAGCCCATGTATTGGCACTGGACTCGCAGCGCAACAAGACACCGACGATCCGGTCCAAACTCCTCGTTTTAAACACATGTCACGCCGTCTGCTGACCGACCGCATGTCTGCGTGGTCTTCTTCTTCTTCCTCCCCTTACCAGCCCGGCTCAACATGCGGCGGAGACCTTCTCTGCTGCATCCTCAAACATCACCCTGGATCCGATAATCACGCCCGCCTCCCTCCTCGAACCCCAGGCCCAGCATAGCCTTAACCATCAAAAACGTTATCCACGTTTCGACCTGTACCGCACCCACGCCCGCGCCTCCCAAGCCTCCCACTACGCCGCCGACGCCCTGGCCCCCCACGACCGCCTTTCGAGAAGAGACAGCTATCTCCGGTCCTCATCTTGGCCTCTACAAAGGCTCCTCCATCCCCTCCAACGCCTATTGACAGGGGCAGTGTCTTGCTCCCCTCTGCCCCCATTCCCGTACAACAACATGTCTGTCCGCGCCGTGCCCTCGACACCGCGTGTCATCTCCCCCAGCCCGACACCGTCAGAGATCGACGCAATGTCACAAGACAACTACTTTGGCCCTACAACGAGATCAGCAACGAGAAAGCGTCTCACTACTCCTCAGCCGGTAGAGGAGAGGACAGAAGAGGATGATTATGAGCCGACGACCATGCGCAGATCGCGCACACGAAGCCGGTCCCCCATCGAGTCTCGCCGTATTACACCGATGACGACCGTCAAGACGCAGACGAAACCACCCAAATCACCCGTCATCCCGAGCGAACCGATCTCGAATGGCGTCGCTCTTAACGGCGATGCGAACGGCAACGGCAAGACACCGACGGCCAACGGCCACCTGGCCCCTCCTTCAGCCGCTCCCACAGGATGGAGCTGGCGAGACTTCAGCCGAAGCCCGAGTCCGCTGGGCTTGATACCCATTCACAGGAAATGGAGGACGTTTGTGCACAAGCACGAGGTGCCAAGAAAGGTGTTGCACGTCTCGATCGGATTCTTCACACTATGGCTCTACATTTCGGGTATTCAGACAAGCTCAGTTGCACCGTGGCTCATGGCTGCGCTGATGCCTATCGCGACGGCCGACTACCTGCGTCACAACTACGCCTCCTTCAACCGATTCTACGTCTCGGTGCTCGGTGCCTTGATGCGCGAGAGCGAGTATGCGGGCTGGAACGGTGTCATCTTCTACTTGCTCGGCGCCTGGGCTGTCCTCAAGTTCTTCCCCAAGGACGTCGGCGTCATGGGTGTTCTGCTGCTCAGCTGGTGCGATACTGCCGCCAGCACCTTCGGTCGCATGTATGGCGCATACACCCCGCGCATTCGC